GCCCCGAGGGGCTGGAATACAATATTATTAAGCAAGAAAGACGCGTAAAATATTTATCCATTATTTTGTCTGTATTAAAAATGGAAGGTTGCAGCCGAATCAAACATAAAGAATATGCCAATGTACACTGATCGATTTTCAATTATTTAAACATAAATTGAATCGTTGCACATTTGACGGCGAAGTAACCTAAACTAGTTGGTTCGATTATTTTTGGTTTATATAATGATTATTCTTTAAATTAACAATGCAATACTTGGGATTATATTTGACAAAATGTTACACAGAACATGACAAGTTTGACCTCAATCACTGTAAAACATGCTTATAATACAAGCATACTTTCATAACTTTTTATTATTTTAAAATTTTAAATATAAAAATCCAATACCTCTGTAACCCCACCACTCAAATTTAGCCCTGGATTGACACCCATTTTGAAGAAAAAATNTTTGAAAAATAAATAAATTTTGGAATAGTGATTGATGGAAAAATGTGTGATTGAAAAGTAATGAGAATTTTTGGGTTTATGTGTAATATTATTTTATTGATAGAATGTGTAGTTGAAATGAAGAAAGAGAAAAAAATGAGAATGAGAAGAAAATGAGCGTCAAACGATAACTCCTCCAATACATGCTACCATAATAATATTTATTTATTCAAACCATGAGGGTGTGAAATCTCCACCGAATTCAGTTTACAGAGCCCAATGAACCAACCCAAAGGTATGAAATATATAACGGCCCGTATAATTTTTTTCTATCACCCTTAATGAATCTATAGCTTTCATCATTTATCTGTTCACATCAAAAAAAAAAAAGAAAAAAAAATAGCGAAAGCAAACTTCAAAGGAAGGTAATTAGTTTGGTTTTTTTTTTTTTTAACATAACTATGGTGGGTTAGATCTGTAATGGTTTAAAGTTTCAAACCGTAGGTTAATTGAACCAACCCAACCCAACCCACTTACGTGTTTACCTTTTATGATTTTTTTAACAAAAATATAAATCAAAAGATGAACTCTAATCTCATAACTAAATCTCGATTCCTTCCAATCTATAATGTTGCCGTAAGTAATAGCATTGGAAATTTCTTTTCACAAGCTCATTATGTTATACTTAAACTTTTCTCCCTTCTTAGACAACCGGGGCTACATAACGCTTAAAAAAAACTTCTTAAGTTTTCTGTTGATCTGTCTATATTAACCATATGTTATTCGTAACTCAATAGTTCTTATAATATAAAGTTATTTAGTTATTTAGATTCTTGTAATCTAAATGAAATATTTTTCTTAAAAAATAATTAAGAAAAATAATTCAATTTGGACTAAAAATCCAAATTGACTAACTGAATCAAAACAAATTGATTTGGTTTGGGTTGATTCGGTTAAAGAACTAAAGTGGATTGGTTTTGGTTGAAATTTAACCTAAATCAACTGAATTGGTTTTGGTTTCGGGTCGAAGCCGAAACTGACTAAAACCAAACTGCTCCTAGGCCTAGTGATATTTAATGTATTATAGATATGTTTGTGAGAGTATTTGCATAAAAATTCTTTATAAGTTTTATTACACCCCTGAAATGAGAATGGATACACGCCAATGCTAGCATGGCAACGAATGCCACGGAGCCCTTAGCTACAAGGTATGTGATGGTCCACGTGTTCGCCATTATGAAAAGTGAAAGCACAGACGTGTTTACCATCTTCTACGCCTATGATGTCATCCCTCTAGTCTTAGCCATGTGTCACTGTTAAGTTGTGGAGTCTAATTATTGTCGCTTTGTGGATCCAATAAGTGAGTCGATCTCTGCAATAAGATAGTCCTGGGGGTTTGAACGGGGTGCAAGAGATGAAGCCTTCGGACTAAAATTTCATTAAAGATGGTTTAAGAATTTATTTGCTTGTAAATTTTGATTTTGTCCTAATTTATCTTATAAATAGGTAGTTCGCATTAAGTTTATGTATTACCATCATAAAAGTAAAAGAGAGATGTTATAGAAGATAATATGTATGATTTTCTCTCGTAAACTTATTTTCATTATGGAATCACAAGGCACAACCTAATCGAACATCAATCACTTCTCGACTTGAGTGCTATCATCATTGCCTTCTTCTTCTGTCAGCCCTGCCTCATACATGCGTTGTCTTACTTGACCTATCGACGTCTCATCGTTGTAAGGAACATAAGGGTACATTTTTCTTGGACACTTCTAATGGACTCATGGGCACCCGTTGTCTGCCCTGCTTCTTACATGCGCTGGCTTACTTGCCCTATCGACGTCTCATCGTTGGAAGGAACATGAGGGTACTTTTTTCTTGTACGCGTCTAATGGACTCATGGGCACCCGATAAATGATTTTCGGTAAACACCACAGTTTGGAGACTTTGGCTTGGAGGATTATCTCTAAATCAAAGTGTTTGTGTCACAGTCTCAATTTCCAGACTATTTTTCTTACATTATTAACTAATGAGTAAATAACATCCAATATCTTGATTTTCAAAAATTAATTTACAAGGTTTATGTCCAAAAAACATAACTATATAAGTTAATTAAGAAACATTTCAAAAATACTTCTTTTAAAACCTTTCTAACTTCCAAGATATTACTTTTCAACTAACAAAGTTAATTCAGCACAATGCCTTAAAAAAATATTTGTAGCTATCCACTCGTGCCGATTGAAATTATAAAAATATGATGCGTAAGCCATTGCGAGAAATAACCTCGTATCAAGGTATTTTGCATTAAATTAAATAATAAATATATGATTTACATAATAAATGACTTTAAGAAAATAAAATCTTTTACTCGTCGATGATTCTATAACTCACGAGTCATCACCTCATGTGGCATGCTGTCTCGTCGTCATCTGAGAACTCGCACAACTATTAAGAATCATGTTATAATTGTGTGTTGCATACTCGAGTCTGGATTATAAGTTCAAGAATGCAAGGCAAACTCAGGAATGTATGGCAAGTGCATGCCTTGCCCCCTACGGGTCCTCAATCAAATCATACCTTGAGCATTCAATATCAATAATGATTAAGAGTATATTCAAGAGACTTTTTAAATATAATAATATGCTTTCTATTTGAAAGAGTTAACCATTTAAATTACATTTCAACAGATTATTTAAATTAACATTTTAAAATATAAAGTAAGTTTGACTCTCCAAGTTTGGAGATTCAAATACACCATATATAATTAAATGCATTCAAAATATTTTAATTTTCAATTGAGAAAAATAATATAATACTTTAGAAAAAAGCTAGTGATAATAAAAGATAGAAAAAAATAATAAATATTTTTTTAGAGGAGTACTTGTTTGGCCTTCATTAAAAATAAATTTTGGGAACATATTTTGGAATAGAAATATATTGTTAAAAATAAGGAAAAAAAATGGAGCTCAAACAGGCTCAAATAATTTAAAAAATTAATTCAAAAAATATTATCGAGTTTGTTACCGTTTGTGCAAATGAAGAAACATGGTACGTTCGTTCTACAAGTGAATGGACAATTTCTTATCTAAATTTAAGAAATAAAAAATTACGAGACAAAAAAAAAATGACAAAAAACTTTAGTGAGGTATATAACAATAACATAAATACCGTCCCCCCATAATATAAATTTAGTCATGTCTATAAGTTAAAATTATTAAAGAAATTTCTTTTATTAATTCAACAGAAAAATCTGATTCGGATATTATGTTGGTTAAATTAATTGAAACGATTTTTTTAAAAATTGGGGAAGCCTACATAAATACGGGACCTTAGATAACCACCTATCTCGTTTCGAGGTCAAAATTATTAATGTTTCAAATATCTTCTTATCTTCTTATTATATATTAAAAGTGGCTATGTAACGGAATTTCTTATTTTTAACGGAAAAACTAACGAAATTTGTTGTTTTAACGGACTATATAACGGAATTTCTTGTTTTAAACAGGCAACTGCGCCTTCTTTCAGTGTTTTTATCATAACTTTGTATTCCGATATCCGATTGAGGCGATTCAAAATGCGTTGAAAAGCTAACTCATCTGGCTACAATTTTGATTAAGACATCATTCTCCAATTCGATCACTTTCTATACCAAATATAGATCTCAATATGAGACAAAAATATCGGAGCATAACTTTTCGGTTGGAAATTGATTTTTGATCATATTTTGACTAAATTTGATTCCATAATAAAAATTATATAACAAAAAAAAGGGGGGCCAGCAGTCCCTAACATTTTCAATGTTTGCATATTTTATCTTAACCTTCAATTTGTGCCAGCGACGGTCCATAACCTTTAAAAAATATGCATATGGAGTCTAAATGGATGAAATCCGTCCACATTTCCATTAGTTGACTAAAAAATTATTTTGACCATATTGTAACCCTTTTTTAAAAGGGTAAAATGATAACTTTACATTTATTTAGTTATTATAAACATTTAAATATATTACATCAAAGATTAGAAAAAAAAATGAAAGAAGACCCACCCCACCCCACCCCACCCCACCCACAGTTGCAGTCTCCAAAGAACCACCGCCTGTACCAACCCCCACCACAACATCCCTAAATCCATCATCTAATACATATGCAAGTTTCTACAAATATTCACATTAAAATTTCTAGATTTAATTAAGCTAACACATGGTAGTAGCCCCCAAATTCAGTCCAGAAATAAGAAGGTGATGACATAGTGTTTGTTAGCGGTGTTTCACCTCGTTCATTTTTTGGGTGATGACATGGTGTTTGTTTGCGGTTACCGATTCGAATTCAATTTATGAACCCCTGTCTTTAACTTTGGCACTCTGCAATAAATTAAAAGTGCTTGATTTGCAAAACAACACTATTTTTTGTGCAATTTATTGATGCATCTGGTACAAATTTACTCGAATAAATCATCGTCGTCGTTGCCACAATCGTACCACCACAGCCACCCATCACACACAATTGACTGTGTATCAAATCGCCACAGCCACCCAGCAATGATTTGACGAATTCAAAAGAAAGCAGAGATGATTTTCAAAAATCAGAATCCAAATGGAGAAGCTACGTCATATGCCCTATCCGCGTCTTTAGCAGATTCAAACGTACCTATCCAGATCCGTTCGCCCCCATTTGCCTTGCCAACGTATGAGATGGTGATTGTGGCCGATTGGTCAATGGTGGTGCCAGCGTTGCTGGTGGTTAAAGAAAAGGGGATGGGGCATAGAGATAAGGTAGGGGTTTGAAGGAAGCAACTTTTTTTTTTATTTGTTTTTTGTTTTTTATTTTTATGATTTTTATGTTTATTTATCTAGAGGGTGTTTGGTAGGTATTAAAATTAGATTTTTAGTAGATTCTAATCAAAGTTTTTGAAATGTGTGGTTGAAAAAATGTGGGACCCATAAAGATGTGGTTAATATTGATTGTTTAAGTTTGACTTAGATTAAATCAGATTTTAATCCTGCCCAAACTAGGTCTGGTCATTCTAAAATTACCATTACCCCTATTATTTTTGTCAAAATTGGACAAAGTCCACTTTTTTTTTTTTGTCAACTAGCGGAAAATTGGACGGATTCTATCCATTTGGACTCTGATGCATATTTTTGAAGGTTAGGGACCATTGGTGGCACAAATTGAAGATTAAGATGAAGTCTGCAAAAATTGAAAACGTTAAGAACAGCTGCTACAATTTTTCCTACAAAAAACCTTTCATTAATCCTGTAAAATCTATGAAAAATCATTAAATGGTACAAGGGTTACTTAAAAAATATTTATATATCAGGGTTAAATCCATCAATTATTATTGTACTTTATAATTAGTGTCACTTTGATCATCTAATTTTATTTTTTTAATCGTGATCACCCAATTTCTTATAATGTTTTAGTCAAACCAAATTAACCATTATCTATTTAATAAAAAATTCTACGTGGACTAACCAATGATGGCGTGTCCATTTAATATATCAAAATAAGTAAATAAGCATATTTAGAGCTTGTTTGATACAAATTAAAATCAAATTTTAATCTAAATCAAAATCAAACAATCAATATTAATCACATCTTTCACGGGTTTCACAGCTTTTCAACCACACATTTCAAAAATTTCTATCAAAATCTACTAAAAATCTAATTTTAATCTACACCAAACGCTCCCTTAATTTCTTTTTAGCCAAACACTTCCTATCTCTTCTTTGTTTTCCCCAAATCCATCTCTTCGCGTCTTTTCTCTATATACTTTCAACCCCAACACAGAAACACTTCTCACCAACATCGATTCGAAAAGTGAAGGAGGATAGGGACCCACCATTCAACTTCCTAATATAAAGCTTGTTTGGGAGGGATTTTTGGGCGAAAAATTGATTTTGAATAGTGATATGATGGGAAATGTGTGGTTGAAAAAAAGAAAAAAATTATTGATGTGATGAAAAATATTATTTTATTGAAGAATGTGTGATTGAAAATGAAAATTGATTTACTGTAGAAAAATCTAAATCCCTCCCAAATAGGGCCATACTGTGAGCCACACGTACATATTACATTGTTCAATGGCACATTGGCCATATTTATTTTTTTTTCCTTTTCATTTCTTTTTTTTTTTTTTTTGCAAACACATTCATGTTTTTGCATTATTTAAATTACAAAATTGTGGATTCTTCCCGACATTGGAAGAATTTGTGGCAAAGTGACTGCAGCACGGAGGCTTCTTTCGTCGAGATTTCTGTGTGGAATTTTCATGTGTGTGGATTGAAAAAAGAGAATAAAGGCCTCTTTGAGAGGGATTAGATTTTTTTACAATAAATCAATTCTCATTTTCAATCACACATTGTTTAATAAAATAATATTTTTCATCACATCAATAATTTTTTTATCTTTTTCAATCACACATTTTCCATCGTATCACTATTTAAAATCAATTCTTCCCCTCAAAAATCTCTCCTAAACAAGCTCTAAAAACCTAAAGAGAGGGAAAAAAACAGCATTGAGTAGAACAATTTACATAAAGCTAACATGTACAGGAAAACAAATAAGATGATGCAAATAAAATCGATAAATCTCTCTCTCCACGGCAAAACNGAAAAATGTATGATCGAAAATGAGTAAAATAATGAGAATGAGAATTTTAATGTGTACCAAACATGGGCTAAATATGCTTATTGACTTATTTAGATTTATTAAACGGAAACGTTAACAGTGGTTAGTCCACGTAGGATTTTTTGCTAAATAAATAAAAATATTATTTGTACACACTTGGTAGACAGCTCTCTGTGTAACAAGATTCAAATAAATAATGGTTAATTAACTGGGTGACTTGACTGAAATATTATATGAAATTTGATAACTATAATAAATCAAAATAAAAGTTGACAGAACATAACCCTGGAATGTCATCTTATTTCCTCTCTCCTGTGACTTTTTTAAGCTTTGCTTGTTGATTACCATGGATTTCAAAATGCTGGATTAGAAAGTCAAAATCAGGGTTCTTCATAACCCTTCCCTGTCTGGATTTTAGGGTTTCTCGATGAATAAAAGTTGACTAAACACTTTACTCCAACGCTTTCAGTTCTGATTACATTGTAAGCGATGGTACGTTAATTGCGTATAGACAGGTGATTACACTTTACTTGAAAATTTAATGGGTCGCTCGCGTGGAAATTTCCGTGGTGAAGAAGATCCCAGTCAAAGGTTCAGCTTTAATTTTATATCTTCATTATTTTTTAATTTTTTTTTTTTGGCATATACTGTCGATGCGTATACACATTATAGGTACTGGGTTTTTTATTCAGTGTTCGATAATATGGCTTTGTGGTTCTATTATAATTATGCAGTTCTTTGTTATTATTTTGAGTTGTTTTCTTACATTTGTTGTAAAGCTGTGATTTTTAGGGATAATATGATTTGGATTTGAATGGGAACAGATGAGACATGTCCATTTTGCAATATCAAGTGTGTGTAATGATTGTCTTGTTGTGAGTATGTTAAAATTGAGTCTCCTTGGAACAAACAAATTTGCAATTACTTGCACAAAATTTAAGGAAAAGTCATGCTATCATTGGGTGGAGAATATGTGGTTATTTTAATTTTACACTTGTTTTAGAATGACATCAATAATTGTATATTCTTGTACTGAAACTTCATGAAGTTGTAGTTAACTATCTTTTCCATCACAATGTTTTGTACTTTCAGATCAAGGAGGAAAAAGAATGCATCCAGTGGTGAAAATATAGATTCTGTTACTGCAGGTAACTTGCTTTCTCTCCAAGATGATATTAATATTATTGAGTGAGAGAACTGCAGTTATCTTAGATTCTGATGTCTTGTAACAGATAGCAGCATAATGATCTCTTGCCAATTATTGATGGAGTTGATGATGTATGAAAATTTAGACAACAATAAAGGATTTTTTGTATTTTGGCTGTTTAGGCTGATTTGGTAGAGAACACCGAATCTAAACTTGGTTTTGGTTGTGAGAACATTGTAGTTAGGTGCCGGTCTTCTTTTACTGCATGTTTTACTTCTAACTCACTTGTCTCCTGTTTATGACTCTTGTTTAATAAGGTCAAGGGACCAGTGATCGGAAAAGGGCTCTGTACCATTGCAACTATTGTAACAAAGACATCAGTGGGAGAATTCGTATCAAGTGTGCTGTATGTTCTGATTTTGACTTATGCATAGAATGCTTCTCAGTAGGAGCCGAGGTTCATCCTCACAAAAGCAATCACCCGTACAGGGTTATGGTCAGTACTACCATTTGAAGATCGTACTTTTACAAAACTTAATGCGAAGAATCCACTATCCTAAATCCGAAGTTATTTATATTATCAGGTGTTCTAAATAATTATGTTATTCCATTTGTTTCAATGAGAATATGACCTTTTTTACTAGCAAAACATTTCATATTTTGATTTGATATGAATATAAGTTCTCTTTACAATTATCTTTTTGTAAGTGGGTTTGCACAAGATATAGTGCTACATATCATGCAATTTTACCGTGGATTTTGGTTTCCTTTCAATTTTCCAGGAATTGTTTTTGTTGTATGTAGCATACCAAAGAAGGGAATAATGTGCCTTGGTCCATATTGTCCCATATATATTGCCATATGATCTTGTGTTATATCTTTCTTGTCCTATATTCTAATTTTTTCCATGTCGCATGACCTTCCATGCAATATATTGCTGAAATGCTACTCAAGGGATATATCCCCTCATAGTGCTCATGATTTTGCTGACGTCATTGGAACAGGACATCTTATCATTTCCTCTCATCTGTCCGGATTGGAATGCTGATGAAGAAATGTTACTTTTGGAGGTGTTTTGTAATCTCTTTTAAGTGTTTGTCATCTCGTTGATCAAAAGTAGTCTCATTTCTCTTTTTGGAAGTGTTATCTCACTTGGTTTCTGTGTTATGATTTTCATTATTTTATATCACATACTAGGGGATTGAGATGTATGGCATGGGAAACTGGGCAGAAGTTGCTGAGCATGTTGGGACAAAGACAAAGGAAGTGTGCATTGAACATTATAGGAATGCTTACCTAAACTCTCCTTACTTCCCTCTACCGGTATAGTTAATGGCAAAACTAAGTTATGTCTATGATTTGACTTTCCTTTCTTGAAAGTGACTCAAACATTTCATTTCTCAGGATATGACGCACGTTGTTGGCAAAAACAGAAAAGAACTGCTTGCTATGGCTAAAGAGCACCTTGAGGATAAAAAAGGTAAAACTTTTGTTGATGGTCCACTCTCTCTCTCACACACCCACACACGGCACCTGTTTTTGTACATGTCTCTTAAATATTACATTGGGTTGACAGAAAGCATGAGGGCTGCATTAAATAATTCTTTTGGGCAATCTTTGTGGTTTGACTTCAATTGAGTGACATCAGTTGGGCTGTTTAGTGGATCTGTGGACTGCAATTTCTTATTTAACACAAAATATTTTATGATAAGGGTGTCCAGTCGTGAAGAATTTTAGTTATGCTGTTGTGCCTGTTGGTTTTAACTGATAAAAGCATTGTAATTTTCTATTATTTCTGAAGTAATGGGAGTGCACCACTCTTCCTGCAACAGGATATTCTTTATGTCTAATTGTTCGTTACAATGATTAGATAGAACAAGAGAAACTGTTGAATCTAATAACTGAATATCACAATTACCATTCCAAGTTGTTAGTGCATCACATTAGCACCCTCTGCCTCTCTGGCTACCCTAAGTTGACAACTTTCGGCTTTTGGCTTTTGTACATAGTATAAGATGCTTTATATAATTTTTCGAAGGTAATGATCGTACTTGGGCTTCCTTTGCCAGGTGAACTTCCATTGAAGGAGGAATCTCCATTTTCCCCCTCAAGAGTCAAGTATAATTGTCGTTTTGTATTTTTCGTAAGTTGTATTTTTCTTTCGGATTCTATGTTCTGATCTTTTCTATATACTCACTCAGAATTGAAAATTCCTACAAGAATGGTCCTTCAGGTCATTTGCCTTCTGCTTCAAATGCAGGTAATTATACTTTCATTTGATTAGTAACCTAGTGCTCTTGTCTACAAATATCAGTTGAATTGATGTTTATTACGTGCCTGGTTGACTTGTTGGATTTAGGATCCATTTTTCTTACTGACTAAGATCCGCGACCTGGGTCCAAACTGAATATGAAGACCAGAAAATAAATAGTCCCGGGTTGAGTTATCTGATAGAATGAACTTGGGGCCCAGATTTGGTTAAGATATTAAAGATCCATGCATATTGGGATTTGGATATAGTTATTGCATAGTGAGAATTTGATTAGATCTGTCTAGATCCACATAGATCAGACCCATTGATAGTCCTTACTTCTACAACAGAAAGAGAAAATCATTTTATTAGTACAAATATTGCAGGAATTGCAGACAATAAAATGGCATCCGACATGGTCCAGGTCAAGGATCAGCCTGATTCTCTAAAACTGAATGGTAACCTGATTTTTCTTAGTTTTATGCTTTGTTTGAATTCTGATAAGAGTTATAACTATCTGTTTATTGCCAATCATATACTTCCTAATTTCTTGCAGATCATCTATCAGGACGGAGTTTTGGCAGCAATAAACCTAAATCTGCTGAGGATGAGGGTCCATCTTTGATGGAGTTAAGTGATTATAACCCGAAAAGACAAGAATTTGAGACTGAATATGATAATGATGCTGAGCTGTTGCTGGCTGATATGGAATTTAAGGAGACCGACACCCAAGAAGAGCGTGAGTTGAAATTACGTGTGCTCCGTATATATTCAAAGAGGTAATCCATTATAGTCTAAATTTCTATAACTGATGATGGTTTTAGTAAAATTGAGTGAAGGAAGACAATTCAGTCTTTTTCATATGCCCTGGACCCCATTTTTATGCTCCATATCAGTGGAAAGATAAGAACAAAAAGAAAAAAGAACAGAAACGTGACTGTTTTATGTATAAACATGTTTACTTTGCGGAGCAATAAGAAGTGAACATATGGTTAATGAGTCACCCAATAATAAAAAGATCCGTTTTATATGATTAAATTATGTTCTGCCATCTTTAGTTCATTATCATATTTTTTGGCTATGTTATATCTTCGAATTCACTGTTCATCGGATTGTTGTCAGACTTGATGAGAGAAAACGCAGGAAAGACTTCATTCTCGAAAGGAGTTTGTTCCATCCTAGTCCATTTGAGGAGGAGTTATCTCAAGAAGAAAAGGATTTATGCCGACGATATGATGTCTTCATGCGTTTTCACTCCAAGGAGGAGCATGAAGAATTACTTAAAACTGTTATATCAGAACATAGGATTCTAAAAAGAATTCGTGAACTTAAGGTATATCATATAGCAATGATCCTTAACTTTAATTTACTGATGAAAATAAATCTTGGGAACTGCATGATTTTTAACTTATTTTTATACTCAATAAAGAAACAGAGTTTGTGTGGGCATATTGTTTCTTGTGGTTTGGTATAGGACTGTCCCTTTGTTTGCAAGTAATATGTTTCTGAATCAAACAATCAATAGTTGATTGTTGTCAAAGTTCTTCTAACTATTTGCATTAGTGCTGTAGTGCAACAGCCACCAAGCATTTTACAGCTGCATAGTTTTTCAGAACCATCTCACTTATAGGCAGGATCATAAAGAATCCGTTACTTTATTAAACCCATACACTACCCTTCGGATTTAAGAAGCAAGGATATCAATAAATATTCTTATCTAATGTGTAACCTCTATAAATATTAAGGTTAGGACTGGGAGGTATTAATTTATAGAGGTTATACTGCATAATATTGTCAAAATTAAACCTGGCATTTCCTTTGGTAGTTGTACCGTGTGATCAGTAATTTCCGATTACCAAGCAACAATAGTCTGAAGTGGAGGTTGGTTAAGGAATATGTGAAAAATATTTATTTGGACCGCAGCTAAAGTAAAATCAATATTTAGTTGACTTCCAAAAATGAATACACAGGAAGCACAAGTGGCTGGATGTCGTTCCTCTGGTGAAGCTGACAGATACCTTGAACAGAAAAGGAGAAGGGAAGCCAAAGACAGTGGTCACAGAAAGGAAAGTTCTCAGGCTGGTCCAAGCAGTCAGGAAAGTCTCAACGTGCCAGTTTCATCGGATTCACTTAATACATACTCAAATACAACATCTTCAGGCCACGCTAATTCATCGTCGCTAACTGATTTGGATTTTGTACCATTATCTGGCGCAGATTTACTTTCTGAATCTGTAAGTATGCAGTTCTTGTTCCCTACAAAGCAAAAGCAGTTTGGCTTTGGGCTTCTAGCCCTTTAATTATTTTATCACTACTGCTTGGTTGATTGACTAGTTGAAAGTCTGATGTAGCATCTCTAGATGTTGGCAGTCCATTTATTAGTCGAAAATAAGGCTTCATACACAGCCCACCTTAATTCTCAGAATCGTCAAACAAGCCTATTCATGGTATCTGATTTTTATTTTCTGGTTTTACTACATTATCTTGGCAGGAGAAACAACTGTGCCGTGAGATCAGGTTACCGGCCCCTCGTTATCTTAGAATGCTAGAGTTCATGACAATACAAATGATGAGCGGCAATATTAATCAGAAATCCGATGCCTATTCCTTCTTCCAAATTGAGCCAACAAAAATAGATAGAGTTTATGATATGCTTTTGAAGAAGGGAATGCTTCAACAATGAGACTTCTCGTCGGCTCCAAATGAATTATCCATCCAAATTTTTGGTGATATCCATTTGGTCCCAATACTTGTACTATTAACCAGCTGAAAAATCAACTTTATATTATCATTCTTGATGGGTGTTGCAGATTGGATTTCGTTTTCACCCACGTACATGACTGCTGAGAATCATATTTAAAAGCTGATCTGTATCAGGATGTATTGATCATGTGGCTTACCTTCACGAGTCACGACCCTGTGATTATAGCTGAATATGATATGTAGCAAGTAGAAAACGCTGTTGGCCAACTTTTAGTTGTGCTTTTGTTTCAGTTACATCTGTCTTTAATTTCGCTATTATAATTAACTGCAGATCTGACCTGACCAACTGCAAAGATGTAAAAGATGCATCAATCGAATGAGCCGCAAAACACTAAAATTTTTATGCATTCTCCATTTCCAAACCTTATTAGGAGGGATGCCTGCGTGGTGGAGTGGCTTGTTAATGAATTTAGGATTAAAGTAGTATAAAACTGAAAGTCCAGTAGATGAGTGTTAATTTTAAAGCTTTTTTTTCATATTAACCATGTCAATTTTTTATGAAAGACAATTAAAAAAAAAAAACTAAGTTTGATTCAATTTGGTTAATTTTTAAGCATTAAAAATTTGGGTCGGATTGGTTGTGGTTTAAGTGATCAACTTGCCAATTAACCAACCTAAATAGTTAATACATTTTTTTTATATATATTTGGAAAATCTGATTATTGAGTTTTTAACTTAAAAAATAAGATAATAACACGAACTTGACTATTTCTCAAATACTCTCTTTGCCGGCAAACAAGCTTTTTTAACTCAGACTAGCGTCGAAAAACGATGAACCAAACCAAATCAACCCAACCCAAAACAAGGCTCCTACCTATTTCTAGTGGAAATCCACACATCGTTTTTAACTTTCCAATTCAAAAATAAGATTTTAAAGTTTTTTGTTCAAAATTCAAATGATAATTCATCTTTTAAAATATTAATAATATTATTATAAAATTAAATTAACTCACCCCACCTTCATCCCATCCCCGACCCCAACTTAATTTCATCCCAAACCATAAAATTCACTTCTGCCTCTCTTCCTTCCTTCCCTCCCCCACTTTCTCTCTTTTCACTCTCTACCTATACCATTCACCCCTCATTCGGTGCTGCACTCACCCTTCATCGACGCTGAAACCACTACCTCCATTCCCAAAGGTGCCTCCCTGTCGAACAATCGTCGCACCTGTTGCGCTCAATGGTGCCTTGTTGCGAAAGCAGCTTGCGTGCAGCGAGGCGGCGTTGTTGCTACCGCTTCTCTGAAGACTTCATTTGATAGGTAGCAGTGCATTTGTGGGTGACCTTTGTAGAGTTTATAATGTAGTGAACAATAGATTATTACAACTACAATACGGAAAACATAAACTCATAAAGTGTAAAAATCGAACCAAGGTACTCAAGCTTGTTCCAACACCATCAATGGAGTGTCTAAAGACG